CCAGTTATCAGCAAGCCCCACCCCAGCCTTGCCTCTTCCCCATCCCACTCTCCTGACTCAGCTAGGTCAATATTGACCATCGGGCCCTCCCCTGCCTCTGATTCCCAAGCCACCCCAAGCCCTGCAGCTGAGACCCTGACCTTGGGTCAGCAGAGTCAAGGTCAAAGCAAGGCTTGGGCCCCAGAAGGCTTTATTGCGGTCCCACTCCTGCCCTGCATCCCCTACCTCCTAGGTTTGGCAGGGCATCCAGGTTCATTGGAAAATACATAGGGCTCCGAATCATCAACTCCATCCTGCAAGAGGAGAGAATTCTCTGAACCCAGTTTCAAAGAAAGGGGTTCTGCTCCCCCTGCAGCTCGCCATGGCATGACCTCTAGCAGAAGGCTGAATATTGAGCAGGCAGAGGCACAGAGCTCCCTTTTGCCTGGGACTCTCCCCCGAGGCACATCTGTGAGACACACTGTTTCCGTCCAACCCATTCATCTTACAAACGGGCACACTGAGGCCCAGCCTCCAAGGGGCCATGGAACTGGAAGGTATCTGCAAGCCCTGGGCTTCCATCTTGGCCGGTTTCTGGCTCGAAGCACACCACACCCGCCCTTCTTGTCCCTGGGTAGTTGGACCCAGGAGCTGGGTCTCAGTTTCTTTATCTATACAAGGGACAGTAGGCTCATGTGAACTATCCCACCTGGAGGGTTTCTACATGCCATGTTTTGCTAAGCACTCTGATCATTTTTTTTTAAATATGCATTGAACATCTATATTATCTAATCCCCTGCCAGGGCAAAGCTATTCTCCCCACGTTGCATCTGAAGACACTGAGTTCAGAGAGGGGAAGTTAACAGGTTCAGCCTGGTCACACAGCCTTGAGCGGTGGAGCCGCGACTGGGCTCTGACCTGTGATGTCCAAGTGGGCCTTGGCACTACAATTTTTGAAGGGATGCAGCTCACAGATGCTGTGGACTTCCATGGGAAAAGGCTTTCTTTCCCACAAATAAAAAGTGATCCTGGATGGGGGTGCTGGGAGGAGGCCTCCATGTGGCTAGAGGGGGCCAGCTGCTGCTCTGTCCTGGGGAGAAGGTTAGACTGCAGGAAGTCAGGCAGAGGCGAGCTAGGGGGTGCTGGCCAAGATCCGAGGGAGGGTGAGCAGACGGCCCTGGACGCCCTTCCAGGGCAGGGCCGGCGTCAGTGAGGCCTTAGCCCCAGAGGGAGTGGCCTAGAACTCAAGGAGCCAAAACTTTCCATGAGCCACCAACAAAAAAATGAGTCTGAAGAAGAGTGTCCACCACAGACCTGAAGGCTCAGCAACCCAGGGTCACGTGGACTTTGGAGAGGCTGGAACCGTCTTAACTCTTTGCTGGCTGTCCCCAGAGCCACCAACAAACTGCTTTCAATGTGATGCTATATCGTGCAAAGCTGTGAACTGGCACTGTATGTCCTTAAGGACACACAGCCAGGGAGGAGCAGAGCTGGGGATGAAACAGGGTGTGTGTGGCTGAGCAGCCTGAACCCCACCCTCCACGATACCCTGCTGCCACCCCAAGTGTTCTGGGGTCTAAAGAGTGGGATATAAGAGTCTTAACTTCATGAACATGAAATGGGTATCTCAGAATGTCGTCAGTGCCCATGCAGGCTGACGGGGCTGTCAGGGTTCACCAGTTAGTAAGGCTGAGCCAGTCCCCCCAAGACCCTAGGAATCCACACCTGGTGAGGATGGATAGAAAAGAAAGTATATGAAGACGAGACCTAAAAAGACGGACAGGATTCCCATGGGTGGATGGAAAGACACTGGATCAGGACCCTGGGCCTGCTCAGGGTACCACGCAGGGATGAACTTGCCTAGGGCGGTGGTGAGGAACGCAGGGGACAGGCCCACTGAGGACCAAACACCAAGGAGACCCCTATGATCCCTGCTGCTGTCTGTTGACCCTCCCTTAATCTGGGGAATATGGCTGACCTTAATGATAAGGCATCCTCCTCCTTCTGCTCTCCCTCCTCCACCACATTGCCCTCACAGATCATAGGCTGGAAGTCACTACAGATGGTCCAGTGACTTATCTCAGCACTTTCCAGCACTGCCCAAGAGAACACTTTCTCTGATGAGTTCCAGACTAGGAATGAGGGCCCCAGGGCACCCTCTACCACACCCCAGTCAGGCACAATACGCTGCTTCCCAGGGCCCCCCATCAGCCTGGGTCCATGAACACAGATATTAGCTGAGAAGGAGAGCAGAGCACTGAGTAGGGGTGGGGAGCCCTGGGCCTGGCTTCAGTTCTAGCACATTCTCACTCAGGACCTTGGGCAAGCCCCGCCCCTCTGGCTGCTAACGCCTTGGGTCTGCATAGCAGTCTGATCTGCACAGAGAGACTGACGGGGGCCCTAAGTGAGCCATGTCGTTTTACACCTTTTGAATTAGTTGTTCATGTTTAAAAATAGGAAATTTCTCATCGAAGTTCAGACTTCCAACTTCTCTTAAAAAGCTGGGATATGTAGGCAACCTGGGCCCACACTTCTGAGGGTAGCTTCCCCCTTAAGGGAGGTATGCTTTCTTCCCTAGGTCACCACAGTCCCCACCACTCCCTCTTGTCTCTCCAATACTCACTGAGAATCAGTTACCACTTATTGTCCTGCTTAGACCTACAGCTTTGCTCACTCGGGTTCCCTTGTTTGGCCCTGTAGGCACTAGGGTTTGTCACCTGCTAGGACAGTCTAGCATTCCTGACAGGGGTTCTACTCCAGACGTGGCTGGTGTTCCCTTTCAGGTGCCTGCTGTGCTGTCATGGAGTCCTCTAGCAGGGGGTCCCTGGTCCCCAGTTAGCTCCCACTTGCAGTAGGGGCCTGGCTGGGGTCTGTTCTGAGCCAGGGAGACCTGAAGTTAATAAAAGGACCAGGATGGGAGCAGTAAGGAGATGGCACAGTCAGCAGAGGGAGGAGAAAGGTGGTGTGTCGGGAAAGGCTGTCTGGGAGCAGCGGAAATGGGAAAAGCAGGACAGCCTGGAGGACTGGGCCAGGGAGGGCAGTCCAGGAACCGCAGGCCCAGAGGCAGGGTGGTGAGCAGGGGGAAGGAGAGCGAGGAGGATGCCAGGCAGGGGAGGTAAGGCAGGGGAGGTAAATCTGGGGAGAAGGGGTGTCTATAGACTCCGAGGATCCTCCAATCGCAGCCTCAGAATCCAAGGAGAAGCCTAGACTCCTAAGATCCCCACTTCCTGATTCCCAGGACGGGGCTGGGTAAGTAGTATGTACAAGGCCATGGCCTGGGCCTGGAGGCTGTCTTCGAGCTAGTAAGGAGAGCCCAGGACAGAGGCACTGGGGACCGAGCCACTCTGCAAGGGCTGGCGCCAGGGGCTCTGTTATCAAGGCTGGAGCCTGCCCCCTGGGTGTGGGAAGAAGCACCTGAATTGTGAAATTCATGCTTACATCCTCTGCAAATTAGCAAACCTATCTCTCTACCCGCACCCGAAAGCCCCAAACAAAAAGGGGTGGGAGAGGGCTTGGCCCTTTGTTAGGGGAAACTTATTAATATCCAAAATATGCAGCATGCAGTGGCCCTTCCTTCTACCCCCAATCAAAGCCTTTGCAAACACCTGGACCTTGCATTTGAAAGGCTCTGGGCTCTTTTATATGTCAAGGTCCCGCCAGGAGGAGGTGTGGAGAACCAGGAAATTCTTCTAGCCTGGGAAACTCTTGACTCCTTCCAACCCCGGTCTTCCAGCTCTCTCTTCACCTGCAGGGAAGTCTGGGGAACAGCTGCAGAGGGAAAGGGGAATGCTTGAGCGCCCTGGTTTGTCCCCAGCTCCGTTTGCCTCAGCTGGGTAACCTTCTGAACCTCAGTGGACCTCTGTTGGTCCATATGTATAATGGGGAACTAAGAGGTCTTTAAGGGCCTCCCTCATTCTCTTCATCATCCTTCCTCAGCCCCACCCACCCGCCACTGACACAGAGAAACGGCAGAGCAAGTGTCAGAAGTCAGGAGAGCCAGGACAGGAGGCAGCTGAGCCTCAGTTTCTTTATCTGTCCAATGGAGCTGGAAAGCCCTGTGCTGCCCACCTCATGGGGCTCAGCAGTAAGGAGACAGGGTAAGGAGGGTGACCTCATTGGTGTTTATTAACAATAAACCAACAGAACACAGAGGGGTTGCTGAGACACCGGGAGAGAAATGGGGTGCAGAGGCTGGCCCAGCTGCACGGGGAACGCCATGTGTAGGAGACCTGCTCAGGCATTTTCGTACCCCACCCCCATCTCTCAGGGAAGAAGGGACCCTAGGGCAGCCCCTCCCATGCCTGGGGATTGAAGATACCAAGGTTTCTAGTCGCAGGCCTGGGGTGTCAGCTGCCCTCGCCTCTCTGCCTCTACCCTCATACCGGGGCCCAGGGACCCCTGGAGCAGAGTGGGCAGCATCAAGACCAGACAGCTGTATGTGTGGACCATCGCCAGGTTTCCTAGTTGCCCTGGTCGTCTGCAGCCAAGGCCAATTTCCCAGCAGTGCCTGGAGCTGAGGACACGGTGAGGGCTACCAGGACAAGGGAGAAGGGAAGACAGAGGCCCTGGGTCCTGACTATGACCCCTCCCTCCCGTCTCCAAAGCTTGTGCCGCTCAGGCCACCCTCACTCTTCTGCCTTAATCATGCCCAGGGCTCCTTACACCAAAAGCCCTTCTTCCAAGTGCAGGGTGCCCCTTCCAGCCCCACCCCCACCCCGCAGCTGAGGTTACCAGCCCCTCTTGCCTGTCCTCCACAAGCCTCCCACGTTCACACTGACTACTCTACCTCACCATGCACACTGACCAAGAATGACATTCTATCTAAAGCACAACCGGATCATGCAAATCCCCTGCCCGCCCCATCTCCCTGGCTCCGCTCCCTGTCATTCTTCATTCTCACCTGAACCCTGTTGTAACCTGATAATACCTGTTTCTCTCTCTCTGTCTCTCTCTCTCTCTGTCTCTCTCTCTCTCTCCCTCTCTCTCTCTCGCTCTCTCTGTCTCTCTCTCTCTCTCTCTCTCTCTCTCTCTCTCGCTCTCGCTCTCGCTCTCTCTCTCGCTCTCGCTCTTATGCCCATGGTCTCTGCCCTCTCCTCCTAACCCCGGGGAGGAAGTGGCTACATTGGATCTCCACCCCTTGGCTGTGTCGGGCCCTTGCTTCCTCTTCATCTCCCTCTCCAAACTTGCCCAACCTCCAGGGCCCTTCGCTCCACCTCCTTCAGGTAACCTGGCCTGCACACATGCACCCACAGGGATCTTTCTCCCACTTGACTTGCTAACCCTCAATGCCTGGGGCCTTGTGGGCTTGAGATGTCCTGAGTGTCCCTGCCTAACTCAAGATTCTGGCTGTGTTGAAGGGTGTGAGGCAGGCTCTCCAAGAAAAAGGATGAGAGGGTGGTGCCAGCTGCCATATGAGAAAGGGAGCTGTCTGGTCAGGAGGCTTGAGGTCCAGTCCCTTCTGCCATGAGACCTTGGGCAAATCCTCCTCCCAGACCCCTCAGTTTATCCACCAGCAAAGTGAGGGCTGAGCCGGATCATTCTCAACTTTGAATGGATGTGTGTGTGTGTGTGTGTGTGTGTGTGTGTGTTTAAGGGGTAGAATGAGGTTTCAGGAGAGGCAGAGGCCACAAAGAGGGGCTTGCACTGGGGACTGGTATCACCATGGCAACCTCCCACAGCCTCAGGCCTCCCAGAGCCACAGAGGGCGCAGCTGCCTTTGCTCCGGGGCAGGGCCTCCTGTCCGCCTGCCTCCTGCCTCACATCATGGACTCCTCTTCCTCCTCAATCTCTCGGTCCACCTCGATGGCGGTGTTCTCAAAGCTGGTGATGCCCCCGTACTTGCGCATATGCACCATCAGTGGCTTAGGCGACTGGCTCCCAGCCAGTGTGGCCACGTACATGCCCGTCCGATTCTCCTCCAGCGACGGGCCCCAGTCCATGGCCGGCCGGCTGGCCTGCTGGAGCCTCTGTGGCAAAGCAAGGACAGTGGTGAAAACAGCCAGCACTTGGGGAGTGCTTCCTGGGGCCGGGCACCCAGCAAAGACCACCTCACATCATCTGCGTTAATCCTTGCAACAACCCTGAGGAGTGGGACTCTGTTACTTCCCCAAGGGAGAGAGTCACATGCCTGGAGCAGACTCCTACTCTGCCACTTACAGGCTGGGTGACGTTTGGGTACAGAATTTAAGCTGTGCTTCCTAATCCATAACTCGGGACTCGTGATGCCCTCAACGCCTTCATAGGATTGTTGTGCAGGGTGCTGGGCATGGGATAAGGCCCAGTAAATGGTGGCTGTGGTTATGATTACGTGGCATCCAATCCAGGAGCTCAGTCTGGGTCCCTTTCCCTAAATGCTGAGTCCTAAAGAGCTGGCAGCTTTGGGAAAAGAGCCGTGAATTGACAGGGCTGAGGCAAAGGTCGCCGCTGAGGGTCAACCTCAGTCTGACTCTGATGTCTGACTTTTCTCTCTCCGAGCCCCAGTTTCCATAGAAGGAGGGAGCTGACTAACATGGTGACTAAGCCTGGACATTCTAGGGTTCCTTCTTCCTCCAATCACATTCTCAAAGCCCTCTCCCTGCCAGGGAGAAGGGCCCCAGATCCTTCAAGGTGGAGAGAGCCAACATTAAGTGGAGCCCACGGGACAGAATGTGTGCCATGCCCTCAGCCCAGGGCCTAGCACAGCCCCATACTCAAAGCACAGTGATAGCTGAGGGCCAGTGGAGCTGTATGGGAAGCGGGGGCAGTGGTGTGCCGGCAAGCAAGCTGCAGAGATGGGTGGAGGGGCACAGGAGGCCTAATTTGTAGCCAGTTTCAGTGGTGTAAATATTCCCACCAATGTCCATTCCAAGCTATCAATGGTTTAACAACTGGCTCGCAACATTCCTGAATATTTAACAACTAGCTCTCATGAGGCAGTACTAGCTGGCCCCAGCACACCTCGATGGGATGTGGAGGGTAGGGAGTGGGGTCCCCAGGCTCTCTCTGGGGCCTAGCAGGGTCACTCAGCTCTGCTCACTATGACAGCCTCTTGCCACCAGAGGACTCCACACCCACAGTCTCAGAAGTGGAGGGCTCAGTATATAGAAGGCTCTCTGAGGCTCAGAGTGGGGCAGAATCATATATCATCAATAGCACGCCCATTAGCCCACAAAGGGTCGCTATTTCCCTCTTCTGAAGCTTGCAGATCCCTGTGCCAAACAACTTGCACTCTATGCTTTCAGGGTCTCTCCACAAAGACCTGGCTATTGGCAAGGTTTACAGCTTCATCCATTCCCAGGTCACCCATGGGCTCCAGATAGCAGGGCTCCTGGGCACAGGAGGAGGGTGACAGCTCACCCTCTGGGGTCCGTCAGTGTTGCCTTCTGGCCCCGAATTCCATAAGGAAGCTCTGGGCTGGTGAGCAGAGTTCAAGTCCTGACCCCTGCCTGACTCACCGTGGGTCCTTGGGCAAGTCCCTTGTTGTTCCCCCAAGATAAGCAGGCAATGGCTGACATTGGTGGTCTTTGGACTGTGGTGTGAGTGGCCATGGGGCAAGACTCTAGCCCTCCAAACCTGCCACAGCCCAAGCAGGTCTGAGATAATTCATAGCTCAGGCTGCTGGTTAGGAGAACCGCTCTTTAGGTGAAAAGAAGCCTGCAAGGCCCTGGAGAAGGTGTTGGTACCAGTGTTTTCTCTTCTAGCAGGTGGGTCCAGGGTCAGGAAGGCTGGGGGTAGGCAGGGGAGCAGCCGACTCACCTCCCAGAGCGAGCCCTCCTCTCGAAGCACAGCCACCAGCATGCCGGCTGGGATCAGGAGGCAGGACAGCAGGCCCATCAGGATGCCCAGCAGCTCCGCCCAGGCTGGGAAGCGGTAGCTGCCGTACTCCGAGGGCTGGTACTTGACGATGCTATATACCAGCAGGGCCTGCAGGTGAGGGGCTCCCAGCATCACAGTGAGCCTGAGCCGGCCTCAGGTCTTGGGATAGCCCAGGTCTGAGCTACTGTAAGACCTGAGAGAGCCCAGCCCAGGGCCATCCCAAGGCCTGAGCTAGCCCAGCCCAGAGATACCCCCTGTCTGAGATAGCCCAGTCCTAAGTGATACCAGAACCTGAGACAGTCCATCTTAGTTTCGGAGCTTTGGCAAGGCCTGAGCTAGCCTTGCTCTAAACTCACTCAATGACCAGGACTGAGACAGCCCAGCTCTGAAGCACCCTAATTCCTGAGATGGCCTATCCCTGACCTGCTCCAATCCCGTGGCTCAGAAAGGAAGGCCTCAAGGCCCCAGCCCTAAGTCCCAGAGGCCTGAGAAAGCCCCACTCATTTTGCCAACCAGACTCAGGACTAGGCCAAGCACAGCTATATAAGCTGGAGGCATCAAGACCAGGATACAGGTGCCCACCCCAACCCTCAGCCCGGACAGAGGTCTACTCTGGGCCAGGGCAGCCCTACCAGACTGAATGCCCAGAGGGCCCTGCTCTCAGCCCTGCTCCCACCCCAGTTACCAGGAGTGTGGCCGGGGACAGGAACAGCCAGCAAGCCCTGAAGTAGAGGCCCGGCTTGAAGCCCAGCATCATGTGGATGTCCCGGCAGAACCGCTGGATGCCTGCATAAGGGAGAGGAAGAGGATAGTCCCACCCGCAGGCCCCACAAGCGCCAGCAGCCCTTCCTCCACCCCAATGGCCCCCACGGGAAACCTTGGCCCTTGGGACCAGGGACCCAGTTGCAGGGGGACTCCAAGGTAGACTCCCATCTCCCACTGTGGGGAGCCTGAGTCCCACCTCCCCCAGCCCCTCTCACCATATACCCGGGTGACAGCGAGGCACGTGGTAATCACCACCACCATTAGCCCGAAGCTGGCGCTGTAGTCGTCTAGAAGGACCAGCCAGTACATGCCCCCCTGGAATACAAGTCACAGCTCTGGGGTCCCCCTGCCACTGCCTGGCTCCCTGCTGCAGCCCCTTCTCCAGACAAGCAGCAGCCAGGCCAGCAGGGAGAGCAAGCTGATGACAGTGTACCGCTGTACCCGCCAAGCCCTTTACACACATCATCTTATTGAGTCTCACAACCCTAGAGGCAGACACCCATTTTACCGATAGGAAAACGAGCTTAGGGAAGTGGAGCCACTTGTCCTGAGCTCACTCAGCTACTGCAGGTGTGAGGCATGAGCCCAGGTCTTTCAGACTCCAAAGCCAGGACTCTGGGTCACAGGCCAAGCTGCCCCTTGGGAGAAAGGGTCTGGGGGTGGGCTAGGTTCCTCCCAAAGAGGAAGGAGCAGGTGGCTTGGGGAGTGTGAAGCCTAGCCACAGACATAGCTACAGGTGTCACCCCAGCTCCGCCCGCTGGACACCTGCCCTGCAAAGCCACTCACATCAGTGGTGAGGACAAGCCCCATCAGGTACATGGCCAGGCAGATGAGCCCAGAGAACACAGCCTTCTTGGGTCTCAGGTAGTATGGGAACTCATCTGTCACAGCGGTCACAATGGTCTCCAGAAAGGCAAACTGGGAGGGAAAGGGAGGGGGGTCAGAGCTCTGCCTCCACCACACGCACACACACACACACATGCATACACACATGGAGACACACAGACACACACAGATCCACAGTCACACATCTCCCGCACACGCAGACACACACATCACACACACACACACATACACACATGGAGACACACAGACACACACAGATCCACAGTCACGCAGACACACACATCACACACACCGTGAGGCATGCACAAGGCTCACCTGGCTGTCCAAGCCCAGAGTCAGCAGCATGAAAAAGAAGAGGAAGGACCAGAAGGGCGACAGAGGCAGCATGGTCATGGCCTGCGGGTAGACGACAAAGGCCAGGCCGGGACCTGGACCAAGGGCACACGGGGTCAGAAGCCTGGGGCACGCGGCAGGCCCCAGCTACATACTCAAAACACACACGGTCGCTTCCACGCACTTGGGCAGACCCAGAGATGTACCCTAACTGCACACTTCTGATACTTTCTTTACTCCTAGGACATGTGCCAGCACATTGTCAGTGCTCAGTAAACATAGGTTGATAAAATAAATGAATTCATAATGAGTGCATGAATAAACCTAAGGCCCAAATATAACCTCATTTGAATGCACTTATGTACACAACCACTTGCACAAATTATCGCATTAACACACATACTTAAACACATCAGCACAAGACACTGATTCACAAGGTCACTTGCACCCTCGATTCACTTGCACACAGACATCTCTCAACACAGGATATGACTCATCTGAACAAGCAAGGCAAGTTACTAAGACGTGACAAAACAGTCTCATACAGAAATCCGTTCATTCGTGTGCACATGCCGGTACGTGTAGACACACACACACACACACACACACCCCATACCCATCTGCAACTTGGCTGGTCCACATACAGGCTCACTTCCCAGCCCCAGCTGTGCCGACACACACCCTCACCCAGCGGGACTGCGCAGCCTGCACACCTGCTTTGGCTACTTGGTCCACAGGTACACCCAGTTCCTGAGACATGTAGCCCAGCACGGAGAAGATGGCGAAGCCAGCCAGGATGCTGGTGATGGCATTGCCCAGAGTGACGATGAAGGTGTCTCTGCAGGGACATGTCCAGGCACAGGCCAGGTGAGCTGGCCCCGGCCTCACCCGATGCCCTCCCTGCCCTCACCCCATGAAGCCTCCCTGGCCATTCCCTCTCCTCTTCGCTTGGCCCCTGCACTGACCGATAGATGTTTTGGTGAAACGTGTTGTAGGAGGCAAAGGTGAGGAGACCCCCGAAGCCCACGCCCAGAGAGTAGAAGATCTGAAGGGCAGCTTCGATCCACACCTGTGGCAGGAAGGATGCGGAGAGAGGGCAAAGAGAAGGCACTGGCACACCGTGGTGTCTGAGGGCCAAGGAGAGGAGGGCAGAGGTGGGGCAAGTCAACAAGTCCAGGGACGGCGAGGGGGCAGGGCCTGGCGCACAAGTGACGTGGGCTGGTAGCAAACCCAGCTCCAACACTTACGCTGTGGGACCCGCATAAGTCCCTTCCCCTCTCTGGGCCTCAGTTTCCCCATCCAGGATCTAGAAGTTACTCTCTAAGCTTGCCCTAGTTCTGAAGGAAATAGTGCCTTGTGTCAAAATTTCAGTAAATTCATATGGACAATAAGCCCATGTAACCCCAAACTTCCTTCTTAGAGTTGAAGGGACATGGATTTGGATGTGGAAAGCTCTACCACTTCTATAGCCTGGGCAAGCCACATCACCTCTCTGGGTCTCAGGTCCCTCATCTGTAAGGAGGGAATGAGAAGAGGAGGTGGTAAGGATTAAATGACTACATATATGCAAAATGCTATAGCAGGGTCAGGCATAGCCATCCGCTGATAAATGAGAAATATCGGTCAGCGCCAGTGTTGTTACCATTGTTATCACTAACACCCTCCTTGGGGTTTAGAGTCAGAAAGATCTGGGTTGGAATCCCAGCTCTGCCACTTCCTAGCCACGTGACCCTAAGCTGATCACTAGCTCTTTTGGGCCTCAGTTTTTTTCATCTGTAAAATGGGAGAATAATGTCTACTTCATAGGATTGTCAAGAATAACACATGCGAAGGACAGTGCCAAGCACGGTACCTGGTGCTGGGGGCTTGCCATGTGGGGGAATTCCTACCCTCACCCCCATTTCCCCCCCCAGCGAGGCTTTTCTCCACTTCCCAGCTCAGGCCTGATCGCTCCCTCCACACCACAGCCCCAAGGGCCTCCTTACCTTGGAAGACAACAAGTGGTGGAACTGGGGGGTGAGATAGAACTGGATGCCCTTCCAGGCCCCCGGGAGGGTGACTCCTCGGACCAGCAGCATGAGCAGAATGAGGTAGGGGAATGTGGCCGTGAAATACACCACCTAAGAGATAAGTGGGGACAGAAAGCAGGGGTGACTTCCTCTACCCTGCGCCTCTTCCAGAAATCCCCATCTTACTACCTTGCCTCCCCTACTTTTGCGTAGCCCAAGCCGGGAACAGCCATCATCCATGATGCTTCTCTTTCTTTCCCTCCCTCCCTCTGCACATTGATCCCATCAGCAAAGTCCTGTCACTGGTCCCCAAGGCAAATCCATCTCCACTGTGGCCTGGTTGAGGCCACCATCACCCCTTGCCTGAAGGTTAGAAGAGCCTCCTGCCCCTCATGTCCACTTTCCCCTGGCAAACCCATCCTACGTGGTCATTAGCCAGCATGGTCATCAGACATTGGACATCCCCGAATGCCCTGTCTCTGCTCACCCCCAAACCTCCAGCCACCCGCTCAGCAGACACCATCAAGTCTCAGGCTGCTCAGTGCCTTGGCGTATACAGTGATTACCTCTCCTCTCTTTATAAATGGTTCCTACCCTGGCTTCCTAGTTTTTCTTTGTAACGGTTCTGTTCCCAGCAGACACTTCTGTGCATTTTGCAAAGGAACAGGTTCGAATTTAGAAATGATTTGAGTAAAGCATTCAGGTTTCCAAGTCCTTCCAAAACAGCTTTATGGCCTTCCCACTTCCATAACCTAAAGCAGACACCTGTAGCTTTGTCTGCCCAGCATCTCACTGACCTTCTTCAGATGACAGGCCCCTGACTTTCCCTAGCTAGGGCTGATTCCATTCCAAGCTCCAGGGATAGGCAGGCAACCCAGGCCCAGCCACACAGAGCACTCCACCCTCCTGGCCCAAGTGACTGGCTCAGGGATGGGTACACAATCCAGCTTACTCAGTGAGGCCAAGTTCTAGGATTTTGCAAACTGGGGGAAGTGGGAACCTTTCACTAAGCAGGTAAGGTGTAGTCTAGTTTCTGGGGCAACCACATTGAAAATGAAGCCTGAGAAGAAAGCCAGTCTGGAGGGAAGCATTGCTGAGAGGCTTCGAGAACCACATTCCGGATCACAGTAAGTGAACCTGTGACCCAGCATGCCTGAAGCACATCCTCTGGATTTTCCAATTGATTGTGACAACCGGGTTCTGGTCACTTGCATCTCAAAAAGCCCTGATTCGTATAGCCACCCTCCAAGCATTCAAGAAACACTTGCTGAGCTTCTTCAAAGTGCCGAGCCCTGGATAAGGATACAACTTGAAGAACAGGTCCTGCCCTTGGTAAGCTCCTGTCTAGTGAACCAGCCTAGCCACTGTCCATCCTTACCTCCACATCTTTCTTCAGGCAACGTCCCCTCCCCAAATTCCATGCCTTCTCCCTTTCCCTCTTCCCAGTTGAAGTAGATTCATCCTCTCAGGCTCAGTCCATGCCTCATCTCCTCCAGTAAACCCTCACCCCTACCAGTCCCTCAGACTTCCGAGGCCTCCCATGCCTCACCTTGCCTGAGGACTTCACGCCTTTGAGGATACAGAGGAACACGATGACCCAGGCGAGTAGCAGGCAGAGGCAGAGATTCCAGCGGATCTCCCCGGGACTGCCAATGCCCTGGCTGCCTTGGATGTGGAGAACGTAGCGGCTGTGAGAGACGAGGGTCTGAGTGTCTTCTGGTCACGCTGCCACGCTCCACTGACAAGGAGGAAAGCCGTGGCCAGCCTGCGAGGCAATCCTAGCTAGTCTCCATTTGATTTCTCTCCATCCTCTGACCAGCTCTGCACCTAGAAGGCTGGCCTCTACAGACCCCATCACCCAGGCTGCCTTCATCTTCAGTTTCCATTTGGGCTTGGCTAGTGGGCGATGACAGCAGGATATGGGAGCGTGGGAGGAGTGAGGGGTTGGAGTATTTGCAAACACACACGCATGCATGCACACAAGCACACATGCATGCACGTACACAGGCACACATGCATGCACACAGGCACGTGTGCATGTACGCACACAGGCACACAGGCACACATGCATGCCATCAGAGGACCTGGTTCTGACTGCCTCCTTCCACAGCACAGATCTTGTTGGACAGCCTCTCCTCCAAGGCTCCAAATTTCTCTGGTTCCAGTATCACAGGTCCCCCTGCTTGCCTCCTTGGCTCAGGGGTGTTACGGCCAACCCTCTTGCTAGTTCCTGGTGCCTCACCTCTTTTTGTGGATTCCCTCACCTCTGTAAAGTCCCTCCACTAAACTCCCTTTGGTGAAGCCTTGTGAGAGTGCCATCTGCTCCCTGCCTGTACCCCAGCTGATGTAATAGGTCATGGTGTCTCCATGGAGACCCCTGGCAGCTGCTAGACCCCATGTCACGTTCCTTGGCTTTAAGCTGTAGATCCAAGCCCATCCTTTTCCAGAGGTCAGACATGCTCCTCAGCAGGTGCATACATTTTGGATGGACTTTAAATAGACAAATGAATGAACTACAGGTTGGAGACCAAAATATTTCAAGACATGGGACCCATTTGGGAGAAAATTCCTCAGAGGAGACCTTTGCAGTTGAAGACTTGGGAGTATCTGGTCTGTGTCCTCTGGTCAGCCAATGGCCTCTACCCAAGGACCAGGCTGCTGTGGAATGTTCCAGCACAGGATCAAGAATTAGAATTACTTGGTTCCAATATTGCCTCTCCCACCAACTACTGAGCAAGCTTCTGGGCCTTGTTTTCTCAGCTATAAAGTGGGGCTACGGGACAGGCTGATGAGCAGTGACGTCCTAACACTCACCACTCATGGACTTGCAATGTGCCTGGCACTGTGGTAAGGGTTTTACCTGCATTACCTTGTGCAATTCTCACAACAATCCCTTACTTGACTATAGTCTTGTATCTCCTATGAGACTAACTGGAGATGGTCCTTACTGTGTACTGCCCTGGGCTATGCTAAGTGCTTTACCTAACGATACAGTCAGTGCTCAATAAATTATCGACTGAAAAAAATGAATGAATGAGTGACTGCATAACATCCTATGAAGTAAGGACTATTATCATCCCCTTTTACAGAGGAGGAAACCGAGGCTCTAAAAAGTTCCTATTACTGTGAGCAGCAGCAGCGTCATGATCATCAGCTAGCATTTATTGAGCATTTACTATCCACCGTGCTGGATGGTGCAATTTATATGCCTTCCTTCCTTTAATCCTCATGGCAACCCTCTGAAATACTATTATCATACCCAATTTAAAGATAAAGCATCAGAAGCCAAATAAATTGTTCAAGGTCACACAGTTGGTCAGGCGAAAAGCTGGGCTTAGAACCCAGGGTCTACCTAACACTAGTACATTTGAGTTGCATGCTGGGCCCTTTCGGGACAGGCTCATTCCTGCCCGCTGCCCCCCTCCCCCGAGTGTTGTGGGCCCTCCCAGGGGCTGCCGTCTGAGCGGCCTGACCTCCAATACTCCTCGCTGGGGCTGACGGTGCTGGTGAGGTTGAGGGGCAGAGCCCCATTGCGGTCCTTGGAACCTCTGTGCTCAAGGCAGAGGTCCGTGTTCCACCAGTTGCCACAGTGCTCCCAGGGCAGGTCGCTGGTGAGGGAGGCGAAGAGGTAGAAGAGGACGTAGGCAATGATCATGTTGTAATAGATGGCCACGAGGCCCATGATGAGCAGCATGGCCGCGCCGGCACCTGGCATGGGGAGCAGGGGGCTGTCCTTAGGCCAAGCGTTCCTGTGGGCCAGGCTGTGTGGCCTCTGGAATGCCATCCCTTTCTGGGCTTCACTTTCCTCTCTGCCTGAAGGTTGGGGTATACGGGGCAACCTCTCTGCCTCCCCCAGGCCCAGACCACCCCAGGACCTCACCTTTGAAGAGGGGGCTGATCTTCCAGACGGCCAGGGGCCCCAGGCTGGAGAACTGGCCCAGAGAGAGCTCGAGGAAGAAGAGGGGGATACCACAGATGGCCAGCATGAGGAAGTAGGGCACAAGGAAGGCTCCTGCAGGAGGAGGGACGGTGAGCACAATTTCATGCCTCAGGTGGGTCAGCTCTTCCTAAAGCCCAGCTTCAGCCCTGCCCCTTCCCAATGGGCAGACACCACCTGCAACCTGATGGAGCACTTCTCGCGTAGATTGGGACTGTCTTCTTTTACACCATCAATCACTGAGGGCCAAGGGGTGGCGGGGATTCACTCACCTCTGAAGCCCAAGTGCCCAGACCAGGGCTGTGCTGAAAGCAGCCTGAGTGAGTGAATGAATAAATGAGTGAGTGAATTCCCTGCCGAAGAAAGTACAAACTCCTCAGTGTAGACATCAACCCTCCAATCTACCTGCCTCTCCTTCCTGTGCCACCTCAGATGCTCCGGGCTGCCACCTGTGGTCCCGTGTGCCCAACATCCCTTCCCCCTTTCTTTTCATATTGGCAGCAGCTCCTTTAGAGAACTGCCTACCACCATATGGCTTTGGAGGGGCTGCCAATCATACCAGCCAACCCCTGCCCACCCCCTCATGGGCACATATCCCAAGATAGGCCAATTAGAGATCTTCCCTGTCATTCTACATAGATGAGAGCAGTTCTGAGGAGGAAGTCATTCCAGAGTTGTCTCTGTCCATCCCTCACCCCCGCCCGCAAGGAGGAAGCCTGGCCCAGGAAAAAATGAGGTCAGCGTTCAGAGGGAAAAGGAGTCAGGAACTGGGGGAACGGGTGGTTAGACAGAACTGTGGATATTACGAAGCTCCTGGAGTTTCAAAGGCCAGCTCCACTCCTACACTTCCCAGTCGTATCAATCCATCTTGTCCTTGCTTCATCTAGTTTCATTTGGATTTCTGTCACCCTGCCAATTGGTGCTTCTTTAATGAGTTTGGTAGAGGTGAAAGGAGATATAGAGTGTTGGTGGGCATGCTTTGGCTCTGCACAAGATAGTCCGGGGGTGGGATGTTGGGTTGGCCACTTGTGTGTGACCTTGGGCAAGGAGCATGGCCTCTCCAAATCCCGGCTGCCTCGTCAGAACAATGGCGCCTGTGTAGGAGGGCTGTCATCAGGGTTAAATGAGACAAGCATGCAGAGCACCAAGGCTGGGGCTGGCAGATGGTGAGTGCTCAACCCCAGCTATTGTTAATGAGACTTAGAACAGTTACTTGATGGAGGAGCCAGGACAACAGAGAACTTGTTTAAGATGGGAGAGGCTCTGTGTTTGCAGTCAGAATGTAAGGAACCAGGGGAGGAGGACAGACTGAATATTCACAAGCAAGAATGATTGATGGAGCAAGGTTCTGGAGGAGGTGGGGGTGGGGGATGAGGAGAATATTGAGAGCACAGTGATCACTGATGGCAGATCATGAAGCAGAGGCACTGCTCTGCCCATCACTCAGAGCCCAGGCAGTGTCAAGGATTAGGGAGAGAAGTGTGTGGGTATCCATGCTGAGGATGAGAGAGAGGGAGGAGGGGCCTGGGTAATGAGCTTCCTCCTCCCAGGCCCAGGTTGCTATTAACCATTTTCAATTAATTCTTCCTAAGGTCACATAGGAGACAGCGGCTGAGGCCACTTCAAACCTCAGTCCACCTTGAGCGTCGGCCCATCACCTGGCCACCCCTCAGGCAGGACCTCAGGCCCATACCTCCTCCGTTGGTGTAGGCTCGATAGGGGAAACGCCAGACATTCCCCAGGCCCACACAGTAGCCAATGCAAGACAGTAGAAAGTCCAGCTTGCCCGTCCAGTTCCCACGGTCTGCAGCAAAGTCCACGTCCAGGTCTACATCACCCTGGTCACTGGGAGTCATCAGCAGATCTGGGGTGATGGGCTGCCAGTAAGAAAGACCAAAGGTGAGGCCATGTTGGAACTGTGACCCCAAAGAACCATATGAACTTGAACAGGGCTGCATAAAAGACACTCTATTGGTTCAGGTGATGAACTTCTCTCACCTGGGCTAACCTGGTCCATGTGCAGGAGCTCCTTGGGGTTTTAAATGACTGCAAACTTATAAGACCAGCAGGGTGGCTCAGGCACAGAGAAAGCCACCTTGATCTTAGTTTGGCTAACACAGAGGTCACATCAAGGGACGGTCCTACTTTGTTGATGACGATGACGATGATAATGATGATCTTAACAGTTATCATGTATTAAGCACTTACTATGTGCTCACCGCACTAAACATTTTACTCACATTACCTGATTTCATTCTCAAAACAACCGCATGAGCTAAGCATTCATCTAAGCTCCATTTTAATTATGGGGAGAACGGGGCGGGGGGGTCAAAGAGGAATCCCGACATACTCAAGGTTTTTACAAGGCTGGCTAATGGGAAAACTTGGTCTCAAGCCCAGAGTTTCCTGATGCTAAAGCCCATGCCTTCACACACCAGTGCTGAAGTTTTGCTACTCCGTTCTGGGCACCATATTTTAAGAAAGACACAGACAGCGTGGAACGTGTCCAAAGGGCAGGTGGCCAGACTGGAGGTTGTTCAGGAAAAGCGGTTACATGAGGACAAGAAGAAGGAGCTGGGAACCCTTAGCATTAAAAGGAAAGGATTTGGAGGGACCTTAAGCTCCCCCGAGGGAGGGATTAGATTTATGTTCAAGGGGACCTACAGAGAAATGTGAATTTTAGTTCATGGGCACAAAGAAGCTACGTAAGCACTGATCTGTCTCAGAAAGTCATAATTTTCCTGTCACTGGAAGAAAGTGGAGAGGAGAATGGAGGCCAGCTGTCCATAAGGGCCCCTCCTGTGATTCAAGGAGGGCAGGGATGTCCACTGGGCATTCCCCCTTCAGGCTGGGGCTGTGAGACGGAGGCCCTCCTCCAGCTGCTTGTTATCCTGGTCCCGAGGAATGTGAGTTAGCATGTCCACGAGCTGCCTGGACTTACAGCCTTGAAGGAAGCCCAGAGATACCAGGATGATACCTAAACTTCAGAGAGCGGTTCTCAGCAGTGACTGTAGGAATAGGTCAGGAGAAAGGGGGAGCCACACCTTTCCCGCTTGCCTCTGAAACTCTCACCCTATGGCAGAGAAGGATGGAACTGCAAAGAAGGCTGATGATAAACTAACGCCCATGGTTTTCAGAGAGGAGAAATGACCCCCTGCCTCCCCCTGAGGAATGGTTGTGGGAAAACAGTGATTCCACTGGACTGCGAGTCAGGAGACCATGATTCTAGTCCCAGGTCTGTGCCAATCCACTGTACCACTTTGGGAAAGAGTCTTCTGAGCCTCAGTTTCCCCATCTGGACACTGAGGGGATTGGATAGATCAGTGTTTCCAAACACACATCCCTTGGGATGTTCATACATGTTCAGTGGAACAAAGGATTCTTGATTTCAAGACGTTTGGGAAAAGCTGGATTAACACAAGGTAAAACAGGTTTCTTTTCCATAGGACTTGTCAGATCCTTTAATGGACCAATATGCACTGTGATTCTCCAAATAGGAACTGGAATAGACAGTCTTCTCCAAACCTATGTAAAAAAAGGGTTTCAAGGAGCTAGGATATACTTGGGGAAATGCAGGTCTAGACAATCTCTGTCTAATAGTCTCCTGGCTCTGATGGTCTGTGAGGCAAGTCACCAAAGAGGCTTCACTGGAGACACTTGCAGGGGTCGAGGAACAGATCAGGTTTGAGCACAGGGACTCAGGAAAAATCACTACTGACCAGGTTCGTGTTTTCCTCTAAAACTGCCCTTCCTGACACCAGCCCCAGTAGGTGTCTACACACAAATCAGGTGGTGACAGAGAAAGCTTTGCTAGGGGTTTGTCATATGAGCATCACTGGGATGAAGATGGCAAAAGGCGAGTACAAGTGTCACAGGACTGCAGGTGCTTGCCAGCGGTGACAGGGTTGGTGCAATGGGCTCAGGTGGCAGAAATGGGGTAACAGTGTTGGGTTGACTCTGAGTGATAGTGATGACCATGACGGTGATCCTGCCTGCGGCTGGCTATTGAGCAGAGGGGCAGTGGTGGCAAGGACAGCCTGGCATGGTTATGGGTGATGGTGACAATAATGAAGAGCATGAAAAAGCTGCTTTTCAAATAACTGGGTTCCCCGAGTTGAAACAAAGATGTGCCTGGCAGTTCTTTAGCTGGGATCTCAAACATGCTGGGGTGACGGTAGCAGCTGCTCCCACCTATCTGAAACCCATTCCTTCCTCCTAATGCCCTTTCCCCTAAAGCTTCCTCTCCGGCTGGGTGAGCATCAGCCTCTAGAACAACTCCCTCCCAGGTGAGCTCCAGGAGGGATGTGGGAGCAGCCAGTTGACATTGGTATTAGGTGGTGAAGCAGGTCTGTCACCCTATGACGACCCTTAGCCCCATCCAGGCCAGCTGGCAGGAAGGTCCAGTAATGAGGTTCCTCTGATCCCGTCTGAGAAGCTGCTGCCCTTTCTATGTTCACAGAGCAGTCCCGACTCTGTTTCCATGGTGACAAGAGTTCCAAGAGCAGGATGCTGCCAGCTCTTGGTCTCCCTCCTCCCCCAATCAGAGGGAAGCCTGCTTCTACTCCAGGGGCAGGGGATAGGGTCCTCTAAAGCTGAGCCAATTCAAAGCCCACCTGGAGCCCCTAACCCCACCATGGGGTGAATCACAGGAGGCTGGTACAGAGAGGAGGGAACTAGTCAGGAGACAGAGGAAAGCAACCAAATCAATGAGGCAGGGCTGGAAGCTCCACAGTTCTACCTAGATGTAAGGCTCCACCCTATCCCCACACTCCCCACCCAGAGCCACACAGGAACACACCTGAGTTTGGCAGACCTGCACCCTCTCTTTTAGAGACCAGTAGATGTAAGTCACCAGACACACCAGGGGCTGGGAGAGGTAGGACTGCCCAAGCCAAGGCTCTTTTACTTTCTTCAGGATGAGAGAGACAATAGGAATCTGGAGACCACATTCATCATTGTGCAGATAAGGTAACTGAGTTTCAGGAAAGGGAAGGGGTGAGCCCAAGGTCAAACAGCAAGTTAAGGGCAGAGCAAGACCAGGACCCAGACCCCTGATTCTCAGCCCAGGGCTCATCTCTGAACAATGCTGCTCCTTTACTGATACCTGGCATTTCCTGCTTCCCTGCCCCCTTCTCTCAGGCCAAGGGAGGGGACCCTGAGGCCAGGCGGCCCCCACCTCTGCTCTGTTGGTCCTAGGTTGCTCAGTCCACTTTCAGGAAAGCAGTAAGCTGCACTCCTCTGTGCCTCGGTTTCCTTGTCTACAAAGTGGGGATAATAAGACCTTGTTGCTGGGTTACATGAGATAAGGCTTCACAAAACATAGTTATTTGCATAATATGTGGCCCTATGGCATTGCGGGGCTCAGGGACTCTTGTGAGGAGGGAGAGGAAAGGAGAGAGAGGAAGAGAATGGGAGAGAATTGGGCAGGACTAAAAACCCAAGAGACCCACAAATGGCCCCAAGAAGTCACTCATGTCAGGAATAAGAAGGCCCTACGTATCACCGTGGTTCCATGCAGCTGTCCAAGGGCAGAAAGCTTGAATTAATGCAGGGGGATGGGGAGCAGAGGAGGCGAGCAGTCAATAACACAGCCCCTGTGAGCTGTTCTCTCACATTTACCAGCTCCTGTGAGTTCCCTGCACCCCCCATCCCGGACAGTGGGGCCTGCTTTGTTTCTCCGACACTGGAAATGGACCAGCAGTGGTCCGGGTTAGAGAACGGACTTGCCCAAAGTCACAGGGTTAAGTGGCATCTGCAGAAATAGTACCCTGGAGTTCTGACTCCTTGGCTGGGACTGGGACTTTTGAGCCAAAAGCCAGAAAACTTGCCCCTAATACTCTCCCTCCCCAAGCACATGCAACTTGGCTGGGAGGTCCAACCCCACAGGACAAGGTGGGGAGGGGGTGAGGTCCAGGCCCAGGGCCCCAGGAACACACAGGTTTGTCCACTTCTCTCATGCCAGCTCCCACCCCGATATCCCTTGGGTCTCCAAGCTCCTCCCTTCCTTGTTTTTGCCTCCTTCTGCCCTGCTGAGGGGCAGCCAGGGGTATTAGCAGGAATGTTAAAGCTGCCAGGAGAAGGAAGGGAGTAGGGAGAAAGCAGGTGGTGGTCCCCCAGGCAGGAGCATGGACAGGAAAGACCAGGTCCTTGCTGTCTGGCAGAGGCTGCTTCAGTGCAGCGTGCACAGAGGAGGACCAGGAGGAAGCCCCCACCCACCTACCCTGAAATTAGTACAGCTCAAGGCTGGCGCTCAGTTATTCTAACCCCCCCCCCTCCCCAAATCAGCCCCTGGGAAAAATGGGTGGGGGACTGGGCACAGGCTGCGGACACCTGTTTGCAAGACCTGGCCCAATGAACCCCAGCCCCCAACACACTACATCCCCACCGCCAGACGGGGATAGGGTGGTGTAGGGTGGCACAGAGAGTGACTCCTCCCCTCCCTGCAATCCGGCTCGGCCTGGCCCCCGGCGGAGCTCTGAGCAGGGTCCAGATGCCGCCCCTGACCCTCCCGGGGCCTCGATGGGAGCGGGCCTCGGCACCCCTCCCGCAGGTGAGCGCCCAGCCCGCCCTCGTGCCGCCGTACCTTACGGAGTTGAGCTCCCTGGAGCGTTTTCATCTTGGAGGGCTGGTTGCCGGGGGTTGGCTTCCCTTCAGCTCAGAAAGCAGCGAGGGAGCAGGAGATGTGCCGTGCCTTTGCCTCGCCGGCTCCGGCTCACCCGCTGTGGGGTGCGCGGGCGCAGGCGCTGCCGTCTGTCGGCTGCGGTGTGGGGCGCGGGCCCGGCGCTGCTAACGCCTGCCTCTCCCTGCGCGGGGCTCGGGGCTGGGGAGGAGTGCACCGCTGCAACCGCGTAGACACCCAGACAGACGGCTGACGGACGGACAGCGGGGGGATGCGCGCCCCCGCGCAAGGCTGCGATTGGAGGGGCCAAGCGCGTAAGGGGGGGCGGGGGGGTCCGCGACGGAAACCCTTGAAGGTCTAGAGACTCGGTCACTGTCTCCTGTGTGACCTTGGGCAAGAAACCTACCCTCTCTGGGTCTGTCTTTCCCTAGCTGGGCAACAAGGATAAGAATCTTACTTCCTTTATAAGGATGTGAGGATTCAGGGAGATCATGCATAGAAAACATTTAGCACGGAGCCAGGCACATAGTAGGAGCTTGGTTAACATTTATCAGCCTGACTGTGAGTTGCCCACTCCTGCCAACAAAAGAACAAAAGCCATTAGGCAGATATTTATCCAAGCATCCAATCCATCAATATTTATTGAGCACCTAAAGTATGACCAATCCCTGGCAAGGCCTTATTTTCTCAACACAGTGACCTAGAGAGGCAGATGGTATTATCCCTGTTTTACAGATGAGGAAACTGAAGCACAGAGAAGTTAAGTTACTCACACAAAGTCACAGAGCTAGTGAGTGACACCAGTAACAGAGGCGGACCTCGCAGATCTTCCAGGATCGTGGTGGTCCTGAACGCTTCTCCTTTCCTTGGGTTGAAAGTGAAATAGGGAGGTTTACGCAGGGAGAAGGGACAGGACAAGTGCCACTGTGTTGTGATGGCTTGTGACTTAGATCATGAGCACCTGGGCTCCAGTCCACCAGCAGTATGACCTTGGGAATGTTATGATTGGACATCTGTAAAGTGGGCCATCCATCAACCAGCCCGTGCCTGGCTGACCTCTCAGAGTGTTGTGAGGGTCCAGTGAGCCTGTGGTTAGGATGGGAAATTATTACCTAGAGTGATTATACACATTAGTTTGTGGGACTGAACCAGTATATGCTAGTGGACCTGGCATGTACGTTACAATATGCATTACAGATTGTGCCCCTTCCACTTTCAGAAGTGCCCCAGCTCAGACACTAACTCCTAGGGTTGCCCCACCATCAGCCAACATGGGGAGGCCTTGGGGGAGAGTGAGTCTTAAGTGCAGCCACTTACACTTCCGGAGCCTGGAAGGAGAAGGGGAGGGTTTCAATCAAAGCATGGGCTTAAATAAAGGGCTTGGCCGGTCCCTGGCCCACCTGTGCTTCCCAGGTCTCACCCAGCTGCTACTTCCTTGAAGCCTGGCCTCACAGGGCAGGCCAGGGGCTCTCCAGAACCAGAAAGGAGCTCTTGCCATCAATACGAAGGGAAGGCGCATCCATGGAGCCCTACTGTGTGCATTAGATGAATGCATATCTAATACCTACGTTTTCATTCTTTCCAACAGCCTGGGAAGACAGGTTTGTGCACCCCCGCTGGGCACCTGAGGAAACTGTCTCCGAGGAGTGAAGTCACACAGAGCGCTGACTCTCTGGGCTTTGGAGAGAGCGCCAAGAGGGCCATGGGCTATGCCTGGGGATAGGCAAAAGCCAGGGGCTCCTGAATCCAAGGAGGCCAGGTGGTACCCACTTGCACCTTCCCCCAGGACCTGTCATCACATCTCTCATAGGACAGGAGGCAGCTTTGCCGACCCAACCCCCTCCCATTGGCGCAGGGATTTCATTGGACCCAATTGAAGGCGCAGAGAATCAGGCCCCTTTATGGCCTCTTCTTAGCAGCACCGGATCCTCCCAGATCCAGCCCTAGAGGGAGCCATCCTTGGGGGAGGGGGAAGGAACAGGGCGGGGACTTCAGTTTTCCTCAAGCAAACACAGCATGGGGTGGCCACTGAACGTCAGCGGCAGTCACTGGGGCTGTGAGTGCAAATGGGTCTAGACCCATGCTTTTCAGATGAGAAAACTGAGGCCCAGAAGAGGTAGGACTTTATAAAAACACTCTGTAGAGTAGAGGCAGGGTCAGGCCTGGAATCTAGGAGCCTGACCCCACCCAGCCTCTGCCTTCAGATAACATCTTTCTGCCCTCCTCTCCCCATCACCACAATCTTGTTGGAAGAGTCTGTACTTTATAAAACAAACAAAACCCCATTAGAAGACATTGTCCACATAAGTCAATCTACCCACTGAAACCCCAGTTTTAGGATCAAAGAACTAACCACCACAAGTTCAGCTACCAAGCACGTTAAACAATTGCTACCACCACCATTTCCTCTCCCCCATCCTTGGAAGTCTGGGTACTACTTAGCAAAATAACTACTTAGGAATCTAAACCAGTGAATACTCAATCTCCCTTTTCCTCTCTCTCTCTCTCTCTCTCTCCTGGTATCACATCAAACCAGAAGTGAAGAAGATGTGCCCCAATTTAAGGAAAGTGTTAAATGAAGATGCACTTCCTTTTATTATATAGGGAGATATTTTTAAATGCGTATAAATAAACATTTTAAATTTGCTTTATTGTCCAGACTTATCACTGTAGAGCATGTGTTTTGTTACACCAGCGAGTGGCGACTGAAAAAAATGAGGATCCAGGCTGCTAGTCCATCTGGTGTCGTTCAGAGAAGGTGGTTCTGGAGCAGCCATGCTGGGACAGGATTGCCCCCAAAGCCACCCTGGCCTGGGCTTGCTGCGCTCCCAGCCTCTGCATTCCACTGGCTGGGCATCTCATTTGCCCAGAGCCTGGCTGGTTTCCTTGGAGCGCCACAGGACTTTGTCCCCCCATCACAACCTGTCACACACAGAGAGACACACACACACTGGGCTGCTGGAGAACCTCTGTGTGAGAGCACTCTACTCCCAACCCTGAGCTAAGAAGTCCTTTTTCCAGTTGGGCCCACACCAATCTCTCAGCAGTCAATGATGGGATTGGCTCCTCCGTAAGACTGAGGTTCTCAGCATGGCTTGAAGGGTCTACAGAGGAAATTGTATGCAAAACATGGTGCTAATATGCATGTTTCTGGTTCGCTAGAGGCCATGACCAGGCCAGGCGCCTTCAGGACCAAGCCATGGGCCTTTGGGGGCCAGGCCAGGCCAGATCTGACTTTTGTCTGGTCCCTGAGTCTCTAGCACCAGTGCAGGGCCTGCCTGCCACCCAGTGGGAGGGTGGAGGGGGTGGGGAAAGTGGATGCATAAAATCATTATATGCAAAACGGAAGCCACATCAGCCGTTCCTGGTAGACAAGCTGGAGTACCTCTTAACACTAGGGTAGCTTCAGGGCCTGATAAGACATGAGGGGTCCCTTTCCTGAGCCATTATGACACTGCACCAGCCCCTGGTGGAGCCATCCGGGTGACAGGGGACACAGTACCTCACAAGGCAGCCCATGGCACTGTTTGGAAGTTGTCTTAAGTAAAAGTTTCTTTTTTCATGGCACTCATGCCACTTGACAGATGATCGCACCCCGCAACCTGTGGGCACCACCCACCCCCATGACCTCCCACATGGGCAGCAGCTGTAGCTCACCCAGCTTTCCAGGCCTGCCCACTGGCCTCCTGCCAGGCAGAGGCCTTCCTGTGGCTTGGGACAGGCTTGTCCTGCCTCAGATCTTCCCAGCCACCATCTGTCCTCCGCACTGGGGGTGGGGGTAGTTAAAACATCGGTCAGGCCTGCCCGTCTCTCACAGGAGAATGTGACAGCTCTGGGAGCAGGTGGCTGAAACCCAGCATTTACTATGTGCTAGGCCCTGTGCTAAACACAATTCTGAGATAGGTTAGAGTATTTTATTTCCACTTGACAATGGAAAAAGTCCTTGCCTGAAGTCTCACAGCTTAGAAGTGGTCACGCTGGAGCCTGGGACATCTGACGAAACCTGCTACTGAACAGTCACAACTGAAGCTTGGCACTCCAGCCCACAGTACCCCACACTCCAGAGTGGAGTGTTCAATGGGGTACTGGTAGGTGCTAGTAGGGAGCTTCTAGGTAGTGAAGCATAGGGAATGCTGGATTAAAGATTCAAGGGATTTCTTTGCTTTGGGAGTTGTCAGAGCCTTTAATGTGCTAATAAACCACTGTGACTCTTCCAGAAGGAAGACTCTTCCAAATTTACTTGACTAGAGCCATTTCTTTTTGGTAAAAATCTCTCCAGTTTAACGGATGAATAAACAAGGCCCAGAGAGGGGAAGCAGTTACCCCAAGGTCACACAGCAAATGTTTTTTGAAAATCAGAAAGCTATATTCGCTTACTGCCAGCCACCCTTCTACCAACCCTCTTCCTCTGCTCCTGGAACCCTGGTCCCTTCCCTGGTACTACCTGGTTCCCATGCCTTACACGTCTACAATCCTCGGTGAAGCCACAGCATCTCCCAGGCCACCAGTAGGAGAGAGGGGAGTGGCTGCTGCTCTTCAGGGCTTGTGTGTGGAAGTTATCCTCATGCATTGTTGTCATGTGCCCCAGGAGCAAAGGGCAGGCAGGCAGGCAGGCAGGCTGTGCACACTTTTTATGGCCGGGCCACCTCCCAGAACAGTAAACAGAGGGGCAGGCAGCTGGCACCGGGGCCATCTAGGGAGTGAAGGCCCCAGGTAGCAGACTCCTGCCCACCTCTGGATGGGAGCTGAGAACAGCAGCCTTTCTCAGGAGTTTAAAAAAATTATACTTTAAATTCATACTGCTAATACTCTTTTTTTTACCATTCCTTCCTTCTTGGCCTGACAGCACTCACTAGTTCTTTAAACCTCCTTCAAACCTCACCTTCTCTAGGAAGCCCTCCAGACCCTCCAGGATAAGCAGGGGGGCCGCTCTGGACTTCCGGAATGCTCTGCTCCCTGATGCCCAGAGCATAGCTTGGACTGGGAACTTTTGGTGGGCAAGGACTGTGCATTCACAGGGCCAGCCATGCCTGACACAAAGGGGTGCCCAACGAAGGTCAGCTGTTCAAAGAAACACCTGAGCTGAAAGTATTTGAAAAATTCAAAAGACTGATGATATATTGAGTCTGATGACTCTGCTTATGAAAAGGACCTAAAATTTTACATCGTCTCAAAGACTTTCTCTAACAATGTTGTGTTGATCATTCAAATGCGTTTGAAAGGCTACCATGTTGCAGGCCGACAGAGGCTGGAAGGGAGTATGCAATTGTTAGGAAGTGTGAGGATGATTTATACTTAACATCTTTCTTTAATGCTTCGTATAATGAGTTTTATACACCTTTAAAAAGAGGGAAAAAAATTTATTCTTGAAGCTGCATCCAAGAGATTCCACTCTATGTACAACACTTGCCCAGCTGCGAGCTCTGCTTGGTCCACAGAAAGTCCTCCGAGGGCCCACTGGGGCCTGGGCCCTGGGGCACAGCTTGGTGGGTAGGGTGGACTCTGCCCTTCTGTCCCCCTCCAGGGCTCTCCCTCCCAACTGGAGGCCCCACTGAGAATGCTAGTGAGGGGATATGGCTCTTCAACTCAGAGGGAGCAGTTATCAGAGCTTAGGCCTAATCCTGTGGGCTTTGTGCTCTGCATCAGCCTAGAAATGGTTCAGGGCACGCTAGGATGGGGGCAGGTAGAGGTGAGGTTGCAGGTGTGAGCTGACTGCATTCCTCCCTGCAGGTCATGGTCTACAAACATTCCATCTTCCCTTAGCTCCATCTCCTTTCTCCAGGTTCAATCTAGTCCCTACGGCAGCCATCCACCATTAAACCCATGGAGGAGGTAGGGCCTGGGACTTATCTTGGCTCCATCACCCATTCCTCTGAGGATTGAGACCTCCCACCCTGGGCTTCCTTAATCCTCCTGAGGCCTAGAACACAGGAGCTGAAAAAGGTCCTTATCCTACAGGCTCACTGCACAGATGAGCCAAGGGGATGCAGGGGCTGAGTGGGTGCCTTGTCCAAGGTTACCCAGAAGGTCAGTGGCAGGGCAGGGGACTCAGACCAGGCCTCCCGGGCCTCCAACAGGAGCTATACTCCTAGCATCTGAGTCCCCAGGCTCCCAGCCTACAATGCTGGGCAGGGGGCTATGGCAGATACTCCTCCTTGACAGGCATTGGGGAGGAGGCGCCCAGGAGGCTGGTGGAGCTGGGGCACAGGCCCCCCAGGGGTGGCCCAGCTGGAGTGGGGGTGACTTCATGGGCTGATGGTGGTGGTGGCTGCGGGGGCTGCTGCTGTTGCTGCTGCTGCTTCTTCTTGTTTACTTTGCGCTCCTTTGCCCTTCGGTTTTGGAACCAGATCTTCACCTGTGGTGTCGGAGAAACAGATGGGTGGTGAGGAGACCCAGTGACAGAGTGAGAGGAAGAGGAGGAGGACAGCTGAGATCTTATTTCTTGATGTGGTGTTTGTGGCCTCCCTCCTGCCCCAGCCACCCCGACCTTTCATGGACCCTGAACAAATTCTCTCCTCCAGAACTTGCTCCCCTACAGATAGCTTTCTCTGTAAACTTCTTCCTCCCCATCTTCCAAGGCTACAGTCTAACACCCCCTCCTCCATGAAGCCTTCCCTGTTCTCCTTGTGACGGCTCTCTCCTCTGGATTTAAACAGCACTGATCAGCTTACTGTAGCCTATAGCTAATCAGATCTCCTATCCCCCTATTGGGGTTCAGGGATATTGGGTTTTGTGGGAGTGGGGGAGGACTTGGCAGAAGCTCCATTTCGGCTATGCTGTGTGACCATGGCCAGGAGACTCAACCTCTCTGTTCCCCTCCCTTGACTGAGCGCCATAATCTGCCTGTAGCCTGAAGGCCAGACTCCCAGTACTACTCCTGTGGCTAAAGTTGGAGGACCCACACACCTGCCGTTCAGTGAGCCCCAGATTGGCAGCCAGCTCGGATTTCCGCCGAATGGTGATATAACGGCTATAGTGGAACTCTTTTTCCAGCTCCAGGCGCTGGTGGTCCGTGTAGACCACGCGGTACTTGTCCTTGGTCCGGGTCTTACCTGAGAAGCAGGGGAGCCAGGGAGGAAGGTGAGTGGGGAAGGAGACTCTGCAAAAGGCCCAGGCAGGGCCCCCAAACCCCTAAAGGAGAACCCTGATGTGGGGAAGGAGGTATACCCCAGCCCTGGGGGTGACAATCATTTCTCCAGGTTTAGGCTCAAAGGCTCCCACCCTGAAAGGCAAGCGCTGCTTCATGTCCATTTTGGGGAGCCGCTGAGGCTCAGAGAGAGGAAGCAACTTGATCAGGATTACACAGCGAGCTACTGGTGGAGTTGGGGTTTCAATCCCTGTCTCCTGACCCAGAGCCCTAGTCTGGTCGCCAGCTTCTCCAGCTTTCACCCAGCAGCTTCCAGATGCAGCTGCACAACAGACACTCCGGAAGCTTGTGGAAAACACAGCTTCCAGGGCATCCCTGACCACATGAGTCAGAAAGTCTGGGGGTGGGATCGGCATTTTTAATAAGTTCCCCAGGTGGTTCTGATTCAGGGTCCTCAGGCCACAAGTATGAACACCAGTGACACAGAGGGATATCTGGCAGGTAAGGGCAGATTGACATGAGTGAGATGG